GGTTAAGAATGACAACAGCATTAATTTTTTACGACTACTTCATCTTCATCTTCAACGTTTTCAGTCTTCTGGATCGTTACGCCTTCTTTGGTAACACTGCTGCCTTCGACCATGACGCGCTTTTTCTGAAAATAAAAAATTATTGTTACCAGGATCGTATAAAACAAACGAATTACCTTTGATGGAAGGAGCATGGACCTATCAGGGTCAAAATGATACCTCCCGATGTCTTCCCTGCAAAAATATAGTTCAGAAGTATCGCTTTCCTTATGAGAAAACTCACAAAGCTCTCCCATTTGCTATCCTCGCCTTACCGCTCCATACTACTCTTTCCTCTGAGAGGACGTCGAATAATTTTTCGCAAGCGTCGTCATTTTCGGCTAAGTCCAACCACCACCTAAATTCTAGTGCACATGAAGGTCTTTCGAGAACATACATACTTATTTGGATTCCGTTTATGCTCATCTGGCGTCCGCAGAAGTTGGTCGCGGTGTAGGCCAAGGGCGTCAAGGATGAAACCTAAATCAGTTATTGAAAGTAATGTACTCAAACACACATTGACCCACTTATCAAGAAATCGACTAATCCTTCCGGGAGGTCCTTAAGATGTCAAATTTCTCCTTCTTCCCGCTCTGTCTACAGGCGTACTGTTGAATTTCCGTAGGTGGTTCGCAGGCCTAAACGGTGATTACAAGACGACCTTATCATCTTCATCTATCTGTGGCTTACATTTAGAAAGAAGTGGCGCAAAAAGTCGAGCACCAAAAGGAAATGATCATGCTTGTGCGCGCGTTTTGGTCTCTGCCACTTTTCCATGACTTCAACCATATTGAACTCCTGAAACCAATAATTTTTCCTCGTTGACTGAGAATAGTGGCTAAAGACCTTGAAGGGTGGTGCATGGACCGAACTTTCTAGCTAGCTACCCCACTACCACCTGCGGCGAAAACATAATTGCAAATGATGAATAAGCTTCCCATCAAGTATCCATGTTGATTGTACCTGTTTTACATGTTTTTGATCCAACTGATCTACCAACATTGCCCAATTCGGAACTTTGCACGATTTTTCCATTATCTCCGAGATTTGATATAATTAAGTTGCAATGAGGGTTTCCTTGCCTTAGGGACCTTCTAATATAACCTTAAACAACTTGCAAAGATTGTGGCTGCAAAAGTGGTCCGAACTCTTTACCACTTGCTCCATAGTCTCCGCAGGTATCCACTCGACCACCCGTCCACATCTGCATGCCCTTGGCGCCGCAAGCTCAATGCGAGCCTTAGCCGCATCTTGGGTAAACCATCGCTCATAACTTTGCCCAGAAAATCATTGAGCAGCTAAGGATCACGAATTTGGCATTAGGACCCCAAGAGCAGCAGAATGATATGCATCATGTGTGGAAACCCCTCTTCGATGGATGATCCTTCCCTTGTAAGTAAATTCCGAGTTCCGGCTAAGCCAACTGTCAGAAATGATGACGTGCGGGATGAACAATGTGCATAAACTCTTTCATCTTCCGAATTGAGTACAAATCACTGAAAAAAAAAGGCGAGAGTCAAATGAGTGATTTTTCTAAACTCGTGAGATGCGGTACGATAAATGTGAGCTATGCCAGGTAAATTTTGAACTGCAATTGTGTACTCTAAATAATATGGAACTGGAATCGGCAATATTGATGCCAGTTTTTGCACAGAGTTGAACCGTAGATGGCATTCTTCATGTGATGAAAAATCTGCTTTAAGAAGTTCAGAAAAAGCATTACAAGCAATCGCAGTTCAAAAATCGCATAACCTCCAAAATTTCGAAAATGACTGTCTTGTAAGCTCATACCATTTTAAGAAATGAGCAACGCAAAAGAAGAACATTACTTTCTCAGTTTCATAAATAAAAACATGCCTTCTCATTCAGCTCTTGCACGGCCGGAAGATCACTATCCACTTGTGAATCGACATTCTCGCGGCTTTCATCATTGTCATTAACATTCTCTTCTTCATCTTCTATAAAATCCTGGAATGAGCTTATATCATAGGTGAATCATGGTAATCATAATGCGGAAACTCTTCCGACCTCCTCAAGAACAGGATTATGCTTATAATGGCGTTCCCTTCTTGGCTTCGGGGATCGCAACGCAAAATCGTCATCCCATTCGTTTTCGTAAAAGCGCTTGAAAACCAAAATAGTACACGTTAGCATAAATACTCAAAGTCCAGTAATCAGCTAAAGTAAACAAGCAAAACAATCTAAGAATGAAATATAACTTCTAGAAAGAGAGAAAAAGGGTTCACCTTTACTTCCGGATGATGATCAACGCAGATAATGGCCGTGTGATCAGAAGGACGCGTTCGAAATGAGCGTCTCAAGCTGATTCTCTTTGGTCTAAGCCTGGTTTTTATCGGCATGGAACGTCTCTGGAAAGACATGCTTTGCTAAGTATAGATTCATCTAAGAAAAAAAACAAATGCAACAAATGCAGGGAAGAATTGATCAATACGTCGACGTATAGGTGCGTTATTTCGAAACCTCCTCGCCCGTCGCGACAAAATCGCACCAAAATCCGGACGAAACTAAAATGATGACTCGCGCCGGTCCACCGGATTTTGCCGCGAACGTCCATTTTGTGGGCGGATCCCCTGCGCGAGTCAACCGCGAGTGTCTGAGCTGGCGATACGCAGCAAAGGCCGCGCGCGGCCTGAGCGAGGCGGCCGCGTTGGAGAAGCCGCGCAAGCGAAACTTGCGACTCTCAGGTTGAAAAGCCCTGTACCTGCTGCTCGAAGTGGAAGCATTCAGAGTAAAACCAGAGCAATTGATGTAATTAGAGCAGTTGAATATAATATAGCGAAGTGCAGGTGAGCAGTCCAACTCAGTTTAGCCTAAATGAGAAGAGAGCATATCGTTGTGTAGTCTAAGCATAATCACGTCGAAAGGCGATACAGCTAGGTATATGTACAACGAAAGAAATTCATGATTTTTAGTCACAAAAAGGCAGTGAAACTCGCTGCAGAATAAGAAGATGACCTATAATTTGTTCTCGACAATATACTCTAGACTTTTTTATCCCATCACATTTTATCTTTTTGACTCTGATCGGCACTGTACGCAGCTTTTTGGATACTCTTCATATAAGCGTCAAAATTTCAAGCCCATCGTTTCAATCGTCCCAACTTCAGCTATTTTTCAGAATTTTCATTTCAGCCTTTGGGAAGCATTTCGGCAACAGTTCCGTAGAGTCAAACAAATTACATTACGATAAAGTATCTGAGCCTTTTTTATGTCTCTCCAGCGTACTTGAGAATCTTCAATTTTGCGAAGTCATAAGATACACAAACGCTGTCAAGACTTATGAATTTTCGGAATCAAGCCTTCAGTAATCGAGTATGATTAGGCTATAATTTCCAAGTAACTGAGCATTTACTGTTTTGAAGTAGCAACTTCTGTTCTGGGTACAGCTTGGGACGCGTTCAAAGCAAGTATTAGGATGATACTCGCAAAGCCATCATAAATTGGGAAGGAAGAACACCTTAGATAAAAAGCTGCATCGATTGGCACTCTAACGCTCACCAGTTGATGTTCTGTGGGATTGGGTTGCCCAAATATGCAAATTAGTAACATGGAAAATTAACTTTTGAAACTCCAAAAGCCAGCTATAAAAGCCAAAATAATGCCTTTATATTTTCTTTGCTCTATGCCGCTATTGTCAAAGCACTTCCAAAGTCTGAAGCGAACATTATGAAAAATTACTAAGAGGGTAGGTAAAAACCATGGGTTCGAGATTCTAACGATTATTCGATGATCACCGAAGGAATGGAACAAAAAGCCGCTGCTAAAAAGAGGAAGAAATCCAGCATCAAGTAAAGTCCACAGAACTCGTCTCTCTTATTCAGTGGTTTTGGAATAGGTCTGCAGAACGGCACGAACTTTCGACGATCTAAAATCAAAATCACAAATCTCATGCAAAACTTCCGTAATTTATTATAATCAGTGATGCTAGTACACGCTCAGATGGAGCAAATCACTTACATAATTGCTTTCCTCCGCCTCATAAGCATCCAAAATACTGGAATTCTTTATCAAGAATTTAACAATATCTAGAAGATGAATAGTCTAAAATTTAGGCGCGAGGTAAGCTGATTGAAGAACTTATCTGTAGATTGCTATGCCTGAGAAAACAAATGTTATCGCTCTGCCGAAAAAGAAGGAAAGCTAGAAAGCCCAATGGGAAATAGTGAATTGATAGCGAGTCAATTACTTCCAAAAGTTTCAAAATGTGACAGAAAAAAGCTTCAGCTCATTCAAGGACAAAGACTGGGACCAGAGTTAACAAAATAAGCAAGCAGACATCCGCAAACTGTGTAGAAATTCAGTAAACATTTAACCCACTTTAAAATAGCAGAAAATCCAAATTACGAAGATTAGGTTGTGTAATTTAGTAACCTTGGTCAAATTAGGAGGGAGTGCGCAAGAGGGACACATCAATCTCTGCCTACCCCGATCTTGTAAAAACTTCTATAGAGCAATCGATTGCAAAACTTTTTTTTCTAACGAAGCTAATGGTGCCAGTTCCTGTCTCCATGTCTCCAGCCCTCGTTACCATTTAAATTTGAAATAGGTTAAGGGGTTCGAACAGCTCCTTGAGAATGACATTTTGCGTTAACGTGCAGTGGGAAATAATAAGCTTGGGCACAAAAATGGCACGCTTAGTTCGTTACTTGACACTGAGGCTGATACAATTATTCCTCAGACTGTGGGATATTGAAATAAAAAAATTAAGAATAGAACGTGATGACTCCAGATAATGTCTTTTGAGAATGTAAAGATGTGGTAAATCATATTGGCAAGATGTAAAGTCTCCAACCTTCTTAAGTCCAAATTGTGGTCAAAATTGATCAAATAACTCTCATGTATTCAAAGAATTTTCAAATCAGATGGTGCATCACTGAAGCGTAAAATTACTCAAAGTCTGTCAAATAAGAGCTTGATTGTTTCCGCATGAGTTACCTCAATTCAAACAACTTTTTATCAGAAAAAACTCTTGCATGCTACCAAATAGATTAATAAAATCTCTTCATAATAAACACAATCATATACAAATTTGAAGAGATATACAGACATTACATGAATAACATGAGGTACAAGATTTGGAGTAAAGGTATCGGACACGCAGTGTAAACTCAGCTGACTAATATGGCATCTCATTGATCATCTCCTCGAGGATGGCCCTACGCGCATCGGTGTGAGGAAAGCGGGCAAATCTGAATATGAATTTGAAAAAAAAAAGGAAACATACTATTAAAATCATAGTACGTACCTTCTCCTTGCGTAGTTCATATAAAATGGAGCTTTGTCGAAATATACAGCTGCCTCGGGTCGACGATGTATGGCTAGAATCGCCTTTCCAAAGAGATAAACTATTTGAGGGTACACGTAGAAGGCGTGAAAGATATGTAAGGCGCTTTTCGCGCAATCCTCAAGCAGAGCATTGACCTCGGCTTCAACGACGGCTTCTCGACACTGAAAAGCAATTCCAGTGAGCAATGATATGTGGATTGAAAGCATTTATGAAATAGAAGAGGTGATTATTGGAAGTGATAAAATTTGGGAATTGTCTGAAAGAGTTAAAGAATTGCTACAGAATGCGTGGGAGCATCCACAATGACTTGGGAGGGGTGGGGTAGCCAAAACAGTAGGGCTTAGTATCGGCCACGCCCATTCAGTCCACAGTACATTCCTCGGTTCGAAAATATTGTAGCATCACTTTCTCACACATCTCACCTCAAGCACACGCAAGAAAACCTCGGCCAGAATTGATAGGATATCTGCGGTACCAGGACCACGTCCGGTGCTCTTTTGTCCAAAGAAATCTAATAAAGCGGCTAAACCCTGAGCATCCACCACAAAATACGCACACAAGTGTGGCGTTAAAGCTGTTACACGATCTGCAAGAAAATGATTTTTACCGGGAAAACAGAGTTTGATCAAAAACAGTTGGTCACTCACTGAGAATGAAAGCTCCAACTTTGGTAATGTACATTTTCGGGTTGAACAACATCTCAACTGCATCGTGAATCCTTAGAAACAATTTTTTGGTAAATAACTATATCTTATGGACATACTTAGTGTGAACAGGTAACGCGTCCAATGCAATGTTGTCAACCACATCTTCCGGCTGTTCTGCAGCTACGTTACCCAGGTATGCTATCATGTAAGAGCGTCGTCTGTGCAGATGTTCACGTAGTTCGGCACGCACCAAGCACCCTCGCCACCACGCCTGAAACTCTCTATAAACTTTTCTTATTCCTGGGCATCAGTGGCGACCCGAGGAGGACGGGGCAGAGGGGGGCCTCTTCTCCCCCCCCCCCCCCCGAGAATGAGTCGCGAAATTCTAGAAAGCTACTTATAGGGTTATAAAAATGTGCAAGTGACTTGTTTATACTTGTAAATAATTAAAATAATTTTTAAATTTTTCAAACTAGCCTTGTAAAAAAATTTTTCCGAGGCTAGAAATTTTTTCTAATATTCTGGGGTCATGAGCCCACAAAAATTTTCGGAAGCATCCCAAAATTTTTTCGGAGTGCGTGGCTAACGCCACACAGCTTCACTCAGAAAGAATTTTCTCGCCCCCCCCCCCTCTCCCCTCCCCGGTGCGAAATCCTGGGACCGCCACTGCTGGGTACCCATTTCTTACCTGGATCTTTGTAGCGGCTATCGTCTGATCCTCTGAAGTTGGCTCATACTGAAAATTAGTTTGCGTTTGAGGCTGAAAAGAAAAAAATTATCATCAATAATTGTTCTAGCCAGAAATGAATTTCATACCTGCTCTGTTGCTGACTCTTGGATGATTGAAGAATCTTCTTCAGACAATTTTCGCTCACATGCCTAAGAACACTAGAATTGCATTGCTACTAAATCGAATTTATTATTTCTTTGCTTTCTTTGTGAAAGCAGACAAATGGATGTCCAACGATAAAAATCCCCAAAAATTAGATAAATTATATATGTAAAGAAAAACACCAAAAATCTGTCATTCACTAACCTCTAATAGAGTAGAGTAGCACTTTTGTTTACGCTCATTTTCACGAACTCTGCGCTGTAGGCGACGTAGTCTTTCCAAATCAATCACATGCTTTTCACCCTGAATAATTTCAACTTCCTAGCAGAGTCAGGACATTCACAAAACCCACATATCCGGTTGATGTAGATGGAGCACACTCTAGTGATGTAGATGGAGCATTCTCTAGTGAGGTAGATGGAGCATTTTCTTGCGTGTCTTCAAATACAGTATCGTTTTCGCGATGACTGTGACGTTGCGCCGACATTTCCCGAACTTGGCGCCGAGCAAGAAATCCACGAACACAGCTCTGAAGATTCCCAATATGGAACAAAAACATGTACTACTTTCTTTCCGCATACCTGCACTATAATAATATTTTTCAGTTCTTTCTGCCTCATTTCGCGCAGTTCGGCATAACGTTTTCGAGCAAGCATTCCTCGAGCGTATTTCTGTACAATTTAAACGTTTTTACTGGTCCATCATTTTTGCGCGTGGTTTCATACCTGAATACCAATGGCAGCATTTTCCAATTTCGCCCATATCTTACGCCGTTCAGCACGCATTTGTTCTCGCAGGCGATGGGCACGGTAGGCTCTCTGAGGTAAATTTTTGGAGCTCAAACGATACAGTCAAAGCAGGAGCTTTACGACAGGCTTACCTGGATCCTACAAGCGGCGTGCACTTTTTTCATCTGCTCTACTACTCTGTTCATGTGATCTCTTTTCAATCGCATATCTTGTTGAATTCTCTGATATCTACGTTTTGCAATCGTCTGGCGATACCATCTCTGCAAACATACAAAATGCTATGGCATTTCTTAAGCGTAGCGTTTCGATTTTCTGAAAATATAGTGAAATTCTGATAATATAGATAAATTCGACGTGATAGTCTGAATTAAAACAGCGCAACTGGAAAGAAAATTGGTGTAATTTACTTCAAAGTATCGAAATAAGTACTCGTCTCCCAAGTGTGGCGGTACATATGGTTTTTTTCTTGATGAAAAGCTTGTATAATTTCAAAAGCTTGAGTTCCAATCATCTGATGACCAATGATTCCAAAATTCACCTGGATAACTACTGCCGCCCAGTTTTTTCGTTTCACTTCTTGACGTTCTGTGAATTCTTTCAACTTCTTCAGCCTATGCAATTCCTTCCTCGCTAAATGCATACGGAACACACTCTAAAACTCGACTATGTTCGTCTGGAACTAGGAAATCTGCATGGAAGCTCTCACCTGTATGAGAGTTGCAGCTTTATTCATTTTCGTCCAAAGTTCCTGACGTTCACGGCGTTTCAACTTTCTGAGCTGGTACTTGCGAAAGGCTCTCTGAACATAACTACATACAGATTTACTTAGCAAACACCTGCACAACAGCAACTTAATTGAATCATGCGTAAAATTCAAACACTGCAAGGTTTTCTTTTCACATAGAAGCAAATGTACTGGCAAAAACTTCAAACTGAACCTGAATCTTGCGTGCTGCTTCGTTTTTACGTTTCTCCTCAATTCTTATTTTCTCAAGGAGTGCTCTATAGCACACTCTACCAACTACTCCCAATGAGTCTGCCTATATCCCTAGGCATCATAATGACAAGAATCTCAATTGTGCAACAACTACACCTGCATAATCATTGCAGATCGCTTTTCCAGCTCTGCTCTTTTTATTGCTTTTTTCTCCAGTACCATATCTCTGAACCTATTTCGGGCTAGGTAACCACGCGCATATGCCTAAAATTGGCTGGAGTGATAATCCACCAAAACGATTCTTTTCTAGGGAGACGATGTTATCGAGTTTTGGTGCAAAAAATTGTCAGACAAGCCCTTCTGCTATTATATTGACGGTGAAAAACAAAGGATTAAGGTTTTCCATGTTCTTCAGGTGTGAGTTATCAGTAAACCACTTTTAACAACTGGAGATCGCTCCGCAAAAGAACTAACGGTACTGTTTGTTTATCATCGCCAAAAGCGTTTGCATGCTAGAAAAATCTTCTTCGAAAAAAAGTCAATGTGGCAAATGGAAAAATTGTGCTGCACAACTATATCCCTTTGTTGCATCTACACTTGAATTACTACTTCATAGTCAGCTCGCCCATGCATACCTGTATCACAGTAGCCGCACGCTCTCTAAGCGCCGCTTCTTGCAACTGAGCCTTCTTTTGCTCTACGAGTAGCCGAAATCGTCTTCTGGCGATAAAGCCACGAACCAAAGCCTGAATGGAAGTAGTTTTTGTAGTATGACGACCAAAATCATTTCGAGAATAATCAAAGCCTTCTATAATTAAACCGTCTATCTTTGCGGAAAAATCATTGGATTTTCCCCTCTTTGACATTGTTTCCACAGCTGTAGATTATGTTGCAGAGAGGTATTTACTCTCTATTTGTACCCTCACAATGCAATCGCTTCATCCACTTGTCACATGTAAGTATAAACCCTTGCCATTTTTTATAAAAGAATGACTAGCTGGCAAAGCCGGCTCCGCCCGGCCCTGTCAATAACTTATTCAGCATGCTCACGTACCCTCACTTACCCCCTTCTGTCAACTCCCAGCCTCGTAGCTCAAACTTTGCAGAAAATCGATAAAATCGATATCGATCTATAACGAAAATAGTCTACGATACCTGCCCCGCACCAGGGTGTGTGTGTGTGCAAAGTTTGGTCCGAATCGGTTTAAAAATAAAAATTCCTACTTGGAACATACGTACAAACAGATATACAGACAGACAAACGGAGATTCAGCTTTGACACTATAGAAATTCATAACCAAAGCCATGGGAGTGTGCACAGGAAATGCTTGGGTTAGTGCGATGACGAAACCAGTAGAAAAACCGTTTGCCTAATCGAAACAACTTCAAGCATAGTGAAATTTGGCAATGCTTGCAACAAAGTTTAAAGACTAATTAAATGTCATTCCCATGGATGGTGTATAGGTCGTGCTAAAAAAAACTTAAGCTTATTTATCAAACAATGTGCGAAGGGCAAAAATTAAAAACTCTCACAAGTGCCTCGTGCTAAGAAAAACTTCGCCGAGTTGCGACATAAAGGCGGTGGGTTGGCAAAATGGACCCTTCTCGGAATTTGTTGGTGTGAGGTAATAGACCCCCCAAGTACACTGTAGCCTAAACCCCACTTGCCATTTCATACGCTAAGCCCTAAGGACTCCAAGACTCCACCGACCCCGCCCACTCAATGGAAGTGGGCGGGGCCGATGGAGTTTTGAAGCCCATTTTCGTCAACAACCTAACTCCAGCATCGAGGAGGATCCATTTGGCAGATCCACTGCCTCTAGGAATATTCGCAGTACTACCATCTATAAATTACACAGTAAACTACACGGTCACTATCAACGCATAAATTTTCCTTTTGGGGTAAACGCTAAATTTTGCTTGAACAAAGAGGTTGATAGATGTAATATACCTGGAGTTTTATCGTGAGATGAGTGAAGAGCGCTTCTCTAGCTTCCCTTTCTCTGTCTTCGCCCGATCGCAGTTTACCAGCTTCAATCTCCTCGCGCAATTTGCTTAAACAACTCAGTAAAAGGCAAGTGTAAATTAGCACTGCGCATTAGCACCTTAGTGCGCTTCTCAATTCATCGCCGCCGCGACACTTTACATACTCTGTTTTTTCCTTCGTGGCTTCAGGAGCCTCCTTCAGGACACACACAGCATTCGGTCCTTCCGTGCGGTTGTTGACATCTTCAACTATATACGTAGTTGCGAAAACTGAGCGATCCTCTGCCGCACTCATCGAAGCACCAGCCAATGCTCGATTGCATGTGTCTGTAGGTTGGTCGTGCGTTGCAATGAAATGCTGAAAAAAAAGAATCAAAAATAAGACTTTTGTTGGTTCACGGTGCAGTACCTTGATGGCTTTGAAAAACTTGTACGATCTGTAGGCACGCTGGATACGTGTGGCAGCATTATGAAGCTCACGAATTGAGAATAGTCGTGATAGGTAGAGATGCGCAAAAAGTCCTAGCGAATGATGTAGGCCCCACGGCACATCGAGCTCGGTTTCTGCCTGGGAAATGCACACTGTCCAAGATGGTACGCAGTCAGCTACAAAACGACTTACAGCATTGGCGACTTTTACCAGCAACGTCTCTCCTGGGTAAAGGCGAATGTCCGGAGCTCTAGGATTATATATGCGCCATGCTCCCGCCAGCAATCTTCCATTTCGTAGATCATTTAGCGTCTCGATCTGAAGTGAACATCGAACAGAACTTATAAAAACAGCCATGAAAGATCTGCATGCAAAACGCGCAATAGTTGTGGAACTCACCTTCAAGTCCAGCTGACTTCCTATTTGCTTGCATATGTGAAGTACAAATTGTTCTCCACTGACGTCATCGGGAACAGCGCCAAGATTGAGTTTGTTATTTTGATGAGCTAGTGCTAGAGATGCTCGTCGTAGATTGCGCTCCTCATCTGCTCCCTAAAAAACAAAAGAATAACGTAAACTGTGAGAGTTAAGAAAATGATTTTAATTTGATCATCAATGCTTTTACAAGATGGACAACGCAGAATCCTTGTGAGGCATTAAACGTAAAACTTACCACGTATACTCCCACCAACTTCCATAAAACCTCCAAAATCGCTTCCTTGTTTGCTCCCGTAATTGCTTCTGCCTTTACCGCTGAAAGCACACAACTGGAAGCTTGCTTACAGAATCGCAAGACAGAACCTACCTCCTAGGTCTACTCCTCTATCGCAAGCGGTTTGCAAGCAAACTTTCACATTGCCGATTTTTCTCAAGCGGTCTCCCCCTGGATTGCGTAGGCGAGAGATGAGGCTGCCAGGCGGACATCCAGTCACCAACTCGATGATTTTACTGCAGTTAATACTCCTTTCCAAAAAACATGTGCGAAAATCTAACACTCATTTACCCTAGAATTACTCCGTCGGTGAGATCCGAAAAATCTTTGACCGTGTAGTTATAATCATCAGCAAAACCCTGAAGAAAGAAAAATAGCAGGTTTATTTTTTTAAGTGCTTACCTGCTTATAAGTTGGTCTGAAGCCCATTTTCGCAAAAGCTTTGTTCAGTGGTGTTCCACTTCCAGACAAAACTTCTCGGCTCAACTCGGCAAAAACATCATCCATACACTGAAGTCAAATCACCAAAATATCGAATCTAGAGTTATTGACTCACCTTGAACGATGAAGATTTTGCAAACATTCTCGGATTGTGCTTGATGATTGAATTTGCTTTTGCTGTTTCCACAAAATAACAAAATAAGCAGGTGTGAAGCAAGAAGTGCGAGTGCAGTGCTTCACGTCCCGCATCTGTTACAATCAACCTAAAGAAAGACAAACAAGATCGTTACTTTAGCAGAGAACAAAGTTTGCGACTTACTTCCCGCTGCCAATAGCATATTTCTTATTCTTCATGATTTTGGGGTCCGAGAATAGGCGCTGCACGATGAAACGACTAATAACTTGCGCGAACACTTCGCCTTCATTCACTCTGATCTCGGTGTTATATACTAGGATACAAAGTTCATAGAGGAAAGAAATTAATTGTCGCAGGCAGAGCTCACCAGTTTCTAATCCTAGATGTAACCATGCTGGGTGAAAAGAAAGAAACAGACGAAGTAGTGTTGTTTGCAGACCTGAGAGTTGAGAATTGATACACGCGCAAAAACCAACACAGCGAAAAAACTTACGCAAATCAGAATAAACGCAGCAATCGGCACGCACTGAAAAGACTTTGCTGCTCACAGCGCCTCGAATGAGAAATGGCACTTGTGATGAGTTGAAGAGACGATTTGCACTAAATAAGAGCATGAGTGCATCTCAAAGCTTTCTAAACAAAATAACAAAACCTTTCTCGAATGGAATCTCTCTTTTGTTTCTTCAGATAATCAGCATATTTGAATGGTTTGCTGTTCTCCGTTGTTGAACTAGCCCTGCGTGTCTTTGACTTCGCAAGAAGATCTTGCAACATTTTGTTCGCTTCTGAACAAAAAATGATGAACCCATTACCCGCTGAAATTTTGGGAGAAATTGGAGCACTTGTAATGTAAACCTTGTTTGGTGCTTCCTATGTCAAACTCGTCATCCTCGTACTGAGAGCGAAGTATCATGGCGCACCATACCGCCATCGCTTCCATTTGATGTTGCGTACGTTCGTCTTTCGTCATCAGATAGTCTTCATCAGTAGCCAACACCATCTAAATGCAAATTTTTAACGGAGTCTAACTTTGTGAACAACATAAAAGCATACTTCTTTTATAGTGCTGCTGACTCTTGTGGCAGGTACAAAGTTTGAATCACTAGCTGTAGATTTGATCATTGCAGCAGGCACTCCCATAGCTGGCGGTGGATGGCGAAGTGGTGTAGAGCACACTGTAAAAGTCTACGTGAATTGATGTCAGTGTATTTTCTGCGGCAAAAATCGCTCAATTCAACAAATTTTTTGAAGGCAGAAGGAATTTTCGAATTAACGCAGTGATGTTCACTCAGATAAATGAATTGTAGAGCATAGAAGCACTTTTGAATGGATTTGGATTAGCGACATTCATCAATCTTCAGACCATCAATTTTGCTATTTGAACTTGGTGACGCATGTGAAAGACGATGATTGCTCGGCGAAAAGACATCTGCAAGGTTAGAAAGATGAAATGCAAAAAAATACGACTTCGAAGGGAACATACGACTTCGAAGGGAAGAAAGGTGCTTAAAACTAATCATCAAAACAACAGTATCCCTTTTCCGATCTCTTTTTATCAGAAAAGTTGGATCCACAGCGGAATTCGAAGTTAAAAAACTGACAGTGCCAATGTCTGCGACTACATTGAATTTTGAGGCGAATATGTAAAAGAGTAGATAAATAAAAGTTGAGAAAACTCTAACTTATAGCATTTTGATTCTACATAAGTCAAATGGTACAGGAACAGTATATCACTCACCGATGTTGCCAGCACCTCCTTGGTCGACAGAAAAAGTTGCATCGCTTGGACGTATCGAAGATATATCGGAAAATCTTGGTTCAGGAACGTTGTAGGGGAACTTTGGAGGATGCATAACTTTCTAAAGGGAACTTTGAGCTGGAAAATATGTGAGGTCCAAAAAGACTTTACTTGTGCGCCAGAGAGCCGCGATGAATCCAATTTTGTGCTTCCTTCCACAAAGGAACGCTCCGTTCTTGCAAGGTCAATCTTTGGTGTTGGGAAAGAACCTTCTTTTTGCCATGTACCTGAAGTGTCTTAATGGTTTAGGTTCAGAAAAATGCCCAAAATAACAAATTCTTAGGCAAAATCTCACTACTTTTGCTCTGTCGATTCTGCTGCATCTCGCGCAATTTCCGTAATTTAGCTTCACGCTTGCTTTCCGTTGCCTGCGTACCCGGAGAAATAGCCATCTAAAACTATATTGCTGTGATCTGCTTCGAAATGTGATAGGAAGGCCTACCTTGACGCTCTCATGTGCAGCGGAACGAAGTTCTTGACCATTACGACCGATATTAGCGTAAGCGGCGGCAGTCATATCTTTGTCTCTTTTAAATTTTGGTACTCGAAATAAGTTCTAAAGAGAGAATTTCAAAAATGCAACAACACGGCTAAGCAGTGGTTACCTCATCTCCAACGGTTGATGCCGAATGCATACTTTGAGAAATGGATCTGGAAGTGTCAGGTGAAAACAGGAATTCTTCTCGAGCGCTCGAGAATCTAAAATCTATCAATTTAGCCTTGAGAAGGCAAACAGTGGTCGGACAGGGAACCAGCAGCGACCCACCGAACGGATTTACGACGTTCAGCAGCGAATGGATCACCCGACTCATCATCAGCCATTTGGTATATGAAGAACGACTTCCTATGGGAATGAACAATATTAGAATGAATGCAAACCGCACTCCGTAAAGCTAAATGGACTGGATGTAAACAAACAAGCAAACACTTTATCAAAAAGTTCGAATTTTTGAATCGCTTGCTTCATTCAAAAAACATGGACTCGCGCTTGTCAAAGTGCAGATGGAGCGCATCTGCTGATGTGTAGGGCGGAGGACACGCTGCTTGATTTGTATGTAATGGGTACGTATAATGCAAAAGATATCAAATCTAATGTCTCAGGAAGGAAAATCCTGTGCAAAGCACTTTTGGGAAAGCCTGTGCATTAATTGTTAGTTTGTCATTGGCGCTGCATTTCTTCAAGTTTCATGGATCTAGACTGCAGAGCTCAAAACGACGGACTTTAGCGATGATTTTTTCATAGCTCGTAGATCATTATTTTACCAGGTAATGGGATTCCAAGGGAAAGTCATTCAAATCGGAAATCGGCCTTTTCTGCTCGATTTTTCCGGCAACGAGCATCTGCTCCACAAAGCACCCTCGAATTTGAGCTGTGTTGTGGAAAACACAGTTTGCAAGAATTGGTTCGTAACATGTTTGTTACTCTGAGTCTATTTTTTCGTTTTTCTGAGCCTTCTTTGAACAACTCTGGAAACTCTGGCAAAGTCTCATTTATGGCAAATATGTTTTAGGAAGAACACTATCCACTGGAATCAGTTTCACTCTTACGAAGTCGAAATTAATATTTATAAAAACGATCCTATTGATGGCATTTCAACCTTTTTTTTTAAATCTTTATATTTTTTGGATTTTTTACGATGTGGGAGCATCGGTTCTATTATGAACGCACTTCGCAACGCACTTCGCAAGCTCTTCAATAACGTAAGTTGAAGAATTGCTAGGAATAACTCGAGAAAAAAACTCAAAAAATCGAATAATTGATTTTTATGCATGGTGATAGGCAAATCATCGCACGCAGAGGCGGGCGCTACTGCACACGCTGTCGGCGTCTTTCCGTTCAGAAGCATTTTCATTCCGCTCAGCAATTGCCGCCCCTCCCAAATACGAATTATCTTAACACATTGACGACCAAGGCCTTTCTCGGACCAGCCAACATTTTTCAGATAAAATCACGCACAATTCCATCTACAGTACACCTACAGTAGCGTTGGAATGCTGGCAAAAACGGTAGAGGTTGTGTCTAGATCCAGCATAAAAGAAAACTCCCAGAGTTGGTTTGGCACAAACTAGCAGCCATTCCAATGAGAGTCATGGTGTGTCAAGCCTTCGATCGTCAATGTGTTAATCGGACGCATTAACATCCATTTGTGCCTGCGATTAATTGCCGATACATATCGAAAAGCCACAAGCTTCCACTTATTTGAAACGGAGGAGTCTTCCAAGTACCCTTATTTCATGCGTATAAGGCGCATTTTTCGAATTTTCAAGCGAGCCGCTCAGCCGCTTTACCATATTCCGGAAAGAAATCCTTACATCGCACGATTCTCTCAAGCAATATACAGCACATTATAGGGTCCTTTGGTTATAAAGTCCTTTGGCTTGTCTGGGCTGGTCGATTTTGGAAAAAAATCCCCGCGCCTTATATGCGTGAAATTAGGGTAGATTACACAGATTTTTTCATCTTCTAAGAAGATGACCAATATTACGGCTTAGTAGAAACAATCAAGTCGGAGTATAAAATTGTTTTTGCTTGGATAGAGCAGGTCCAGGTCAATAATCTTTCAAAAGCCAGTAAATAGTGTATTACTGTGCGAGAACTTGCCAGGTGGATAACCTCCATGAGATTTGAGGGGTTATTGGTTTTTATTTTAGTTTTGTTTTTGGTCATCTATTTAGTTAATATGGCGTTTGTTATCTTATAAAAGATGTGAAATCCTCGAATAAGAAGTGAAAAGTCTTACCCGTTGAAGTCTAAATATACTGAAAACATCGCCTCTGTGCTTGTGAACAGATAAAAAGCGCTGCAGCTGGAGTGCTTTTGCATTGCATTTCTATTTGTATTTATACATATGATTTGGCACTATTGAACTATCGAATTGTATCCGTCTGCGCCCATACTGAAAGCACATTATTCTACACCGCATCGACTCCGCTAGAGAATTGCTGGGTAGCCAAAGTTGTTTTGGAAAACGGTATCCTTACGGTAATGTTATTGAGAGTCAAGAATCAATCACCAGAAAAATTTCTGAATTTCGTTAAATATACAAAAATATGGAAATATAATATGAAATAAAAATAATATCAATGTAATTTGTTGTAGGAGCCATCATCTGTACATATTTCTCGTAAGTACTTGCATCGATTTGATTTTAGCGATTCTACTATCTAGCACATTACACTGTAGTAATATATTAGGTTGGCCCGAAAGTTCTGTCGTTTCATTTTTGAAAATTCATAATTTTGCGCTGCCTCAGATTTGCTTTGCTATATTTTTGTTAGAAAGGGTAAATCTATCGCTTTCAAACGCTGTTTTGCTGAGCCTTTGCTACGCACTGACTGCAGAGATAAAAATAGAAAAAAAGACCATATAAACTGTTCATTTTAGCTTAGGTCGCCAAAAATCGCGAAAGCTGCAGAAAAATCTGTTTTCCTCAACACATAAGCTTTCTGATCCACTCTCTCCAGCTGTGAAAAAATTAGCTTGTTTGGACGTCTCTTTGAGAAGTTACGACCTACCAGTTCACTATAGAAAACGCCAAAATTGATTAATTTGACACTTTTCTCAAAAATCATAACTTTTTAAAGAGACGTCCAAACAGCACAAACTCTTCACAGTTGGAAATAGTAGGTCAAAAAATCTATGTATTGGCGATTTCAGATTTTTCTACACTGTTCCCGATTTTTGGCGACCTAAGTTAAAAGAGCAAAGTTTATATGGTCTTCTTTTTCTATTTTTATCTCTGCAGTCAGTGCGTAGCAAAGACTCAGCAAAACAGCGTTTGAAAGCGATAGATTTACCCTTTCCAATAAAAATATAGCAAAGCAAATCTGTTGAGGCAGCGTAAAGTTATGAATTTTCAAAAATGAAACGACAGAACTTTCGGGCCGACCTAACATTAAGTAAATAAATTGATAAAGAAATAAGTCGTTCCACTTTTATCTTGTTGATAGTTATAGAACTATATTACCAGAATTCGAAACTTAGCAAGTCCAAACTTGATTACTGCATTCAAAGCAAACTCATTACAGAATAATTTGGAGTGTTGTGATTGATAAGACAGTCGAACTCAACATCAGTTTTTTGGACGGGTCCATAATTTTGCCTTAGAAGTACAGAGAAAATGGTAAAGAAATTGCCCTAACTAATAGATATGATAGTACTAAGTTTGAACCGAAAGTTGTTGGCAATTTTTTTTCGAAAATCGTTACTTCGTACCATTTTGATGTTTCAAATAGATTCGTTAGAAAAACTAAGTCATATACTTTCTGTAAGGACTTCGGAGGCTTTCAATCAATCTCTGATTATAGAAGAAATTTGAAAAATGACATTCGAGTTTCGCTAATTCTAAGCAGGCCCATAAAAAATCTAGAAACTAAACAGAATTTCCGAAACTTTTTTATCACGACTTTTATGACATGCGCTTTCTAAATTAGCGAATCTTGCGCTGATCCAGCTTTTTGTAAAAGGTGACATTTTTGAGAATGAAGTACAAAACGGCAAAATCAATCTTGTGGCATAGGTTACGATTTTCTGAATATGGTCCGAACGAACTTTCGGTTCAACCTAACATTTTATATGATGATGTTATAATTTGTTATATGGTATCATACGTGCAAGAAATTTCCTTCTGGAGGAAGTACTCTTGAGTGAAATATGTAAATCTTAGTCTATCAAAAGTAAAACTAGACCGTTCTAGGATTATTTAACTTGCAACAAAAAATTATCAAAAATTTGTTGTGTTGGAGCGAGAGCATTTGTACCAGGCTTTTTTCAGGTATGATAAGTGCGTATATGCATGTTAGAGATACTATAACAAAATTTGACTTCAAAAACTAAATAGTATAACATCTGGCAAAACATGCGATTCGGCACAAATCTTTTCCGATCAGGAAGAATGACTCCCAAATCAAACAAAAGTAGAATCAAATTTTATTGGAACATTCAATATCTTTGACGGTTGGAAATGGCGAACACTATTTTATAGTTTTTTTAACAAGTTGTAAATTTGTCAATATCATCTTCTGCACGCGCCATTTGAAAACTGATGACTCCTTTAATGAATCTCGACAAAATTAATTTATTCCAATTTTGGACAAGAAAAAGAAAGATCAACTCATCGTAGTACAAAAGAAAGGGAACATAGTGAAAAACTCTTGATGAAGAAAATATTTTACAAAAAGCCGTGAAAATTTTATTTTTGTAGGGTGAGATATTTCATGATGTGGAGATGAATTTGTGCCATTTTGTAGTAACAATGCAAGCGCAACGCATTGTGAGTAACTTTAAAGTAGGTAATTTGGTACTAGATAAGTCAGTTAAAAGACTTTTCAACTTCAAAGTTTGATTTTTTGATTTTCTTAGATCTATGGGACAGGTCTTACTTTGTGTCATTCGAAACTCTTGAAGAGCTCTTTCGAATGATATACAAAATATCGGCAACCCACAAATTTTACTCAACAAAAAGGGCTACAAAAAGGCCACTTCATAGTCGTTGAGTGCTGCGGCAAATCAAGATAATAGTGTTTGGCTAACAAATTCCATCAAAAGAACTTTTAGAGCTTTCAAATAAACAACATAAAGCCCTATCTTTTTGCTGTTTTGTAAAAACTTATCTCAAAATCAGAGAAATTTGAGCTTAAAAAACTTTCCATAAGATTCTGAGGTATGATCTTCACGTTGCCTTTGAAAATCTATCCGCAGTTACAGAAATGCATCTCAGCAAGTCGCTTATATGAAGTGATGTTTACTTTGTACGAGCTTGCTTATCATCTACCGAAGCTAAAAAATGCTTCTCATTTTATAAGCTTTTTTCTCTCGAACAGCTGCATTCCTACTATTTCGTAGTCCTATTTATATTATGGAGTACAAAGCCTGTACAGATGCAGAAAATCCCAATATTTTATATCAATGGTATGCAGATCGATACAGCAGCACCATGCCGGCAATCCTATTCCTAATTGTTCCATTTCTATTCAACTGCATTATTCTGGTTGTCAACGTGATGGTCTTCCTCTACATTCGTCGTAATGTTGATCGCGAAATGACTTCGAATTTGGACCGTTGTTTTGAACTTATGGATTCGGTGCTTGTCAATCTTCTACCCAGTGATGTTCAGCAGTTGTTTTCAAGCACTCCAAATCAATCTTCTAAGCAATCGTAGCTTATAATGTGCCATAGTAACTTGTTCACTGTGTACTTCTCCAAATAAATATGCTGTAAATTATCGATTGATTTGTTGTGTTAGCAAGTAAAGCGTAGAATATGCAATCGCAAATGGCCAGGTAGATAATTCTTGTCAACGCTGAGGATGTGGGGGTATAGCTCAGTGGTAGAGCGCTCCCTTAGCATGGGAGAGGGCTGGGGTTCAATTCCCCATACCTCCAGAACGTTTTGCATTTACACGAAGGGTCAACCATTGAAGAAACGAGTGACTTTTGTGTCTGTGGTACGCTTGCTAAAAACGTAGTTTCATTTTTTCGAAAAATTAAAGCTAATATACCGTTGCTTTTTTCCTTCAAATATACTTCGCGTCTTCCAGAACTATTGAATTGTTTTCCCTCCAGCGATTTTCGAAAATGAAAGGAAAAATCATCTTCCACCTGTGTATATACTATATTGCTATTTTGTAACATTTACAACTGAAAAGATAACGCTCAACTCATGTAAAATTCATATAAATAACAGCTCCTGACAAAGACGAAAGTATTGCTTAGCAACTTGCTGAACACACTTGCTGCTGACTGAAGAAAAACCGCTTATTCATAGAACAACGTCATGGGCAGGGAACTCTTCCAAATTTGAAAATGAAGTTGACCGCTCAGCTGATGTGCTCCAATGGAGTTGGCAAGTTGCCCAAAATTTCGTTTTGGAGCAGCTTAGCCACTTTGGATTTAATTTCCGAATTGTTTCAAGTTGTTTGTTACTTGTTGTGCGTACTTGATGCCCTTCGGTTTATATACTGAGTTTGGGATATTACGCTGCAAATGTTTTGGAGATGGAGATAGACCAACTTGCTTATGAATCCGGTTTTCCATCATTCTTGCATGATTTTGTCGTTAAAAGGTTCCATTGTGTATTTCTGAATTTTACTCTGAGGACTTGCAGTTCTGTGTGTTATGCATACGTTTCGGGTGCTCGATTATTTTACAGATCAAGTTTTTTGTGCAGGAAATCAAACACTTGGGTGTACTCGTGGCCGCTGTATTACTAATTTTTGCAGATATGGAAGTAGACTATGGCATCACTCAGTATCTTGGTGACCGTAGTGTCAGTGTGCCATGTGTCATGAAGGAGTTGTATTCGGACTTTATTGTACAAGAAATCCTAGGTCTGTCATTCTATAGTTAACATTTCCATCATCATATCTAAATCGTTTCAGAAGACGAAACAGTCCTTCGGTTGGCCACTGCATCAGAAGTTCGTAATTATGTGAAGGAAGAAGAAGAAAAAGGCGTTGATGAGGCTGTTGATGTACCCAGTAGCTTGAGCCCTGAGCAAGTGAAAGCGCTTGATGCATTGGACAAGAACTCGAAGCCGTATTCAATACCCGTCGAAGTATGTTCAATTTCTCGTACAAAATTTAAATTATTGCATTTGAAGACTCTATCTTAGGCCCCTGCCAGACTTCGCTGAAAAGCGCCCAAAAGCGCTCAGAGCCCCAATTTCTTTGATGTCTCTTCACATTCTCTTGTGAGAAGAGATGAGGGAAAGTGAAGAGAGGTTTGAGAAATTTGGGAGCTTTTGGGTCGAAGTTTGGCCGGGTCTAAGTAAAATCATCCATCTTCGTAACGTTCTTTTTTTTGTTCTTCAGTGATCACACATCTTGAGATGCACTTTATGTTATTTGCAAAGTGCTATCATGGGTCGGTCATTTTCACTTCTCCTAGGATTTTGTAGCATGAGACATCCCTTCAAAAACTCTCACTGTTTTTGTTGTTTTTATCGAAGTCAAACTTCACACAGTTTATTCTTGCAGGGTCTGAGTAAGGATGACAGAAAAGCCATCCATGACTTCGTACGACTGCGATATCAGGGAAAACTAGGCTCAGAAACAAGCGAGAAAGGCATAGAAATCAGTTACTGTGGTGTGAATAGTCGAACCAGGTATTCGTATTAGGAATGATACTGTCATCAACTTATTGTATTTGCTTGTTTAGGAAGCGGAAGAGGTGGGCAAAAGACTGCCCGAATCATTGCTATTTCACATTGGCTAAGGAGAACAAGGACACAAGCTATGCACTTGGACTTATTGCGAAATTTCTTAAGTGAGGTTTAGATTTGCACTATGTTGTGAGCAGTCTCAGGTGCTCTTTTCTCACGTCTTAGTTTTTGAGCGTAACAACCAACACATTCCGAACGCATGGAATCAAGGATCGTCGTGCAGTCACTTGTCAGCGAGTTAGCTGTAATCGAATAGAAAAGGTATGTCGAATCTATTTTTTCATTATCTCCTCTTACCTGATTTTTAAGGAGCGAATTCTTAGCTTGAATCCTCGCCTCAGAGACATTGTGGTCTACGATTTCAGTTATCATGATGAAGATTTGAAAATGGGTGGACACTGGGGAAATCGCTTCAGCATTATTTTAAGGTAAGCACCGCTTTTGAATTTACGAATTTTTGACAGTTGTACGTTTCAAGGAGTATACCCCCAGCCACACAGAATATTCTCGAGGAACGATTAGAACAGCTCGCAAAAGACGGGTTTATCAACTACTTTGGTAAGTGTTACTGTATCTCCGCTACACGTCATGGTAAGTGTTACTGTATCTCCGCTACACGTCACTCAACTCCTCTCAGGTACCCAAAGATTTGGTTCTTGCGACACTAATACTGCAACCGTGGGCAAGCATATACTGCGTAGAGACTGGGAAGAAGCCATTAGGGTGATTCTCTCCAATGAGCACATGCCAGGTGAGTTAAATCTCAAATTCGTTTTTCCTCTCTTGCATTTTGTTACTTTTATGATGCCCTATTTTTCTTATCGATTAGTGGTTATTGGCACTTTGCAAAAGCTCTCTTACTTTGATTTTCGAGTTGCGGAAATAATGTACTCTAGGATATCTGGGCACTGTTGGGGATGCCGTCCGGTGTTGGGAAAAGACCAAAGATGCTGCCCAAGCTCTAAAACAACTAAAAGGTAGTCAAGCTTTTGCTTCCATAGAAGCTATTATATTCAAGTGCTTAGCTAAAGGTGGCACTTGGCAACAGGTAAGTATCTTTTTGTTATCAAATGCTTCAATCAAAACTGGTTGATGTTTAGTGTATTACGGATGCGTTGCCTATAAATCTTAGGAGTCTTTATGTTCATGCATATCAGAGCCTTTTATGGAACAAGGTAAGTTTTCAATTTAACTTGTCGGGTCATTCTTTGAACACAGATAGTTTGTTGCCAATGTACTAATTAGGTAGTATCTCGTCGTATTGCTGAAAAGGGTACAGTTGTTCTCCCTGACGATCTTGGAAAAGATGGTCAAAAGCTCGGAGACCGTGCATCTATCTTCGATGTCTATATACCGTTACCTGGGGAAAATGTCACATACGTCAAAAACTACGGTGTGTTTGGTCGTTGAAAGTTACACTTTTTCGAACATCCCTCTCTTCTAGTTTGTGAGTGGTATCAAGAAATGTTAAAAGACGATGGTTTATCATACTCGTCGTTTTCCAGTCTTGAAGAGTGAGCTTAATATACTTCTTTGGTGTTAACTGCATCGCATGTTGAAAATTAATTCAGTCGATTCGCCTTGGGAGAGACTTCGAGAGCAATGTTGATTTGTCCCAAAGATGTGAAATGGAAGTTTATGAGATACTCTGAACCGAGGGCACATTTGCAGGTATGAGTTTATTTTTAGCTTTGGGCGTATTCAATATTTTTACGATTTTGTTACGATTTTACTTCCATCTTTCTTGCATGTCTTTTGTCCTTCCATTTGTCATTTTACTCACTGACATTATTTCCATGTTTTTTGTTTTCCGGTTTTTTTCACATACGTGTTCAGAATGGCATCAATACACGCGCAATAGATGAGAAAGAGATGGTGGGAGATTTGATGGCCCTGCAAGTACAGTTCAGTCTACCGTCTGGATGTTATGCAACGGTTGCTTTGCGGCAGGTCACTGGAACTGACATGGGCAAACGATCGATGAAGGTGAGATCTACTGACGCCCTACTCACTTTGAAAAACTTTGTTCTTCAGGCCCACGCAGAGTCAGCAAAGAATGGAACTAGTATGGAGGAAGACGTTGAAGAGGCTGGTGTTGAAACGGAAGTTCCCCTTATCCTCAACGGTGATAATCATAATAAGTCTCCCCAAACATCTCCAAGCAAAGGCGACGCTTCAGAAGAAAACGTAGATTGTAAAGTTCCTAGGATAGAGTAGACTCATACTTGTTTACTGTTATTGTTGTTGCTTGTTACATGTTATCATGTTTCTACAAATGGTGATTGTCTGTAGTAAAAGTTGAATCACTTCTTATTTGCTTGAAGTTTGGGAAGTCTTCCTCAGCATCTGCTTCTGTTTATCATCTGGAAGATAATGCAATGTTTTTTTGCTGCAGATGAAGATAAGCGTAAAAAATCGAACGGATGGCAATGTCTTTCAACTTGAAGTCGATCCAGAGTCTACTATGGGAGCGCTTCGGTCACAGATTTGCTCACATTTTGGCCCAACGTAATTTTTTTTACCAGGGGCATATTTTTTGTAATATATGTAAGAAATCTAGATGCAATCCTGCATCCTTGAGGATCTGCTTGGGAGATAATGAGCTGGACTTTGATGATTCCACCAAAGTGAAGGACGCCGGTATTGTGAGCGGAGATAGGCTATTTTTGGAGTTGGTGTAGCGCTCATTATCTTACCTTTCACTAGAAAACGCTAGTTAATCTAGGGGACTGTCAACATCAACAGCACCAGTTAAAGTTGAAATGAAAGCACCCGAACGTCAAACTACAAAGGAGGATGAAGAAATGGAACAAGAGAGCGAAAGCGACGAGCTGTCGTCGTTTAGAGATCGTGTTCTACGAGCTGCTAGAAACTACATGGAGGATTCCGGATATTCTGTGAGCATTTTGAAATGTGCGGCTATTTGCGACGTTACAACATTGAGGTTGTTTCAGAATAAGTCCCTGCAATCTTGGTGCGTGGAAAAGTTAAGCGGTGCAGAACTTGACTTCGAACGTCGTACACGTAACCAGGTGTCACATATTTATGTCGTTATCACTGCCTTTTCATATCCGAACAATTCTGCTATTGTCAATGTTGGAAGAATGGTCGGTGGGTTATAATTTGTTTGTAAATCCCGATAAGTTCCTGGTGATTTGTGCTTGCAAAATGCTGATCAGCCATTTTTTGAGATAATGTAGCTCATTTATGAATGTTAGTTCGCGGATAAGGTAGAAATCACTCAATCATTTAGAGTTCAATTTCGGTGACATTATAGAAAATATTAGCATCGTTTTGCAGTACTTAGTTTGTGAGCAGTCGCGGTTTAGAGATTATGTTTAGATCAATCGCGCAAACTGCTCTCATCATTCACTGTCGAACCCGCTACTGTCAAAGACAGTGTCATCAACGGTCTTGCCTTAGCGCTTTCTGGCTCAGGTTTGTTTTGTTTTCTCGACTGTTGGATTTTGCTAATTTTCAATTTTTTAATGTTTTGTATGCTTTTTTTTTCAGCAGCAACAGGAGTAACACTTGTTCATCTGTTTTCACTGCGAATTATACGTGAGCAAATAATGAGGCATATGGAACCTCGTGGCGTGGTTCGCCTTTCTGGAGCGAGTCGTCTTCTGCACTCAATTCTACAAGCTCCATCGGTCGATCGTTCTTATTGGATGCAGAGGCTGAGCAGGTGATTGCTGCTTGATGGCCTGAAAAATGTATGGAAAATCTCGAATTATGCAATTTTAGTGATTTTGGGACAGCAAAGGTACAAGAAGCACAACGTGCTGGGAAGACATTCCGCGGCTCTTATGTGGATGAGTATGCAGCTCTGAAAGCGGCGCAGCGAGCACTGGTGCGTAACTAGGCCCTCGATTTTGCTGCATTTGCTCCGTTCTAGCATAATATTCTCGTTTAGGAGCCCACTTCAAATCCTATCTTACAAGGAAATCCGTACGCATTTCCACGGCCGCCATATGCTCCGTATCCGTATCCATATGGTCCTTACCCACCAGCACAACCTCGGGCGCCAGATCCACCGCGTCATCCAGACCCGCTCTTTCCAGCTCCCGATCCTCTTCAGCCAATTCCAGATCCGAATCCCCTTGTGCAGCCACCCAGAATTGGTCCGTCTGGACCATTAGGACCTCTTGGTGGAAGAAGTGAAGTCTTTTAATACGTGACTTCTCATGAAATTATTCGCTTGATTTCAGATCCATTCGATCCATTTGATCCCAGCAATCAGGAAATATTTCCTGGACGTCCTAATCAAGGTGTTCCGCGTGGTGGACCTCGCATTTTCCCTGCGAATAGATGGGACCGCGGGAATGATTTTATCTAATTGACACATTCCTGTCTGTCGGAAATGATGGCTTACTAATAATCTTCCGGTGTTCGGATGTTACATAATGTAAAGAGATTTTGTGTTTTACATCTAACTGTAGATAATGCACATATGTGATCTAAATTTTTGCATAGAAATTTGGAATAAAAGTTTGAGCTTGATTGGTCCGAGTACTCACAGTGTACATTAGCTTTGAAGAGGTAGTAGGTAAAAGCTAATTCATGACGAAGACGGTCCGTTTAATCTGCGAAACGTATGCGAGCGCAACTTTTAAGCATCTTTCATCATTACGGCTCGTACGCCCGCGCACGCCTTGCTTACGTAATTGGCTGCCTTCGTCTCAGAGTAGGCTTTGGAGTAGTGTGTGTACACCCGAATGTGCTAATGAACAAACTAACATTTTCGGACTTGATCGTTTCCATACCATAAAATCAACTGGGTTTGCAACATAAATATAGGGAAGCTCATAAGTCTTCCACCTTCATAGTCTGAACTGTATAACTTTTACGATGTCTCTTTTGCCTTTGTTCTCAAAAAAAGTCTAGTTTAACTCCAGTACATCTGTACTGGCCCTGCCTGTGTGAATTTGAAAAGAAGACTAAGGGCCGCATGCACTAACATTTGCGCTGGGGAGGGGATCGCAGCTTCAGAAGAAAGCTTCATATCTTGAAGCTCCGGACATCTGGATTTCACGCTGTCTACCTATCCGTGAGTACTCCCACCATCCTTCACTATGAACATATTGGGCAGAAGCGAGAAGCTGTATAAGCCGCATTTCCCAGCATTTTGTAGGATCCCCTGATGATCCCTGGGGGACGAACATCTGTCCTTCAAAATCATTTTTCTTTCTCCGAAGTTGACGAAAACCTTCCAAAGTTGTACTGAACATCTAACACAACAGTGAAAAATAAAAAACGGCGATTTTGAACTTTGAGTTGAAATCTCTGCACTTTGTCGTGCATTTTCGATCTAGCTCTTCACGGAAAATCTTTCTGTGAGATAAAAAGTGGCAGGTTTGATATTTAGACCTCCATTTTGAGGTTTGTTCCGCCATAGTCCTAGGTTGATTGACAAGAACCCACTCGCTTCTAGAGTTAAAATTTTTTAGTTGTGAGAAACAGCCATGGGTCACATTATTTGATGTCAACATAGCAGGAGAAAGAGTCCCAGACGATGAGAAGGTAAGAGGATCGAAATTCTGCTAGCATTACTTTGAGCTCAGTAAAGAGGTCAGAAACCTAAATTAGGTTGGAGAGAAAAAAATTTCGCTTTTTTCGGGATTCTCTAGCTGAGATTGGTATTACACAGAAACTAGAGTATATCCAAATTCAAAATTTTATAGTTAGAGTCTCAAAGGTTTGTAGTACACAATCGCATAAATGAGAAGAGCCCAGGACTGTTCAAGGGCCGGGTTTATTATTTTTTATTTTTGAAATTTTTAATTTCTACTTGCAGAAAAAAAGCAAGTGCACATATAGATATATTTAGTGTCTGCTACATACAGGAGCAACTGAGAGGTTCGTAGGAATTTTGGAGCGAGGATCCGATTTTTAACACTATGAGTTGCCTTCATGTTTGGCTATGAACTTTGCATTAACACGCTATGCATTGAACTTTCATTTTAAAGTTCTAATCGCCTCGCATATGAAGATGTCCTCCATCCACTCCATTAAAAGCGAAAGCATCCTAATCAATAGATAATTCCACCTTTTGTTCTTTGAATTATGTCCTTTCTGTATAAGAAACGGGAATTTCAAGCAGTACACGAAATGCGGACTTCAACATTTTTCATCGTAAGTCAGTTAATGACAAAGACATTGCTCATGATTACTCTCAGGTAATGTTCTTGTTTACATTTGCCTCTCAAGGAGTGAGTTTCTTGTTTGGAATGAAACATCCACGGCCAAGGAACCTTCCAAAATGGACGCGTCCTGTCACATTGCCTACAACGACAACACCCCCTCAAACTACGACTACTAAATTTGTAACAAGATGCCTTCCTCAGTGGCAGAATCCTTGGAATCCTTTTAAAATATGTTATTCCTGAGCGAATAAATGTACTCGAACCAAACTTCATACCTCAAAGTTCCAGTGTTCTAAAATGCACCTAGTCTAACTGCTGTCGTTTCCTTTTTGAAAATTTGTAACTTTTCACTATTGCCTTTGTAATTTTATTGGAAAGGAGTTTTCTTTGCAAACATTATTGACGAGGCGCTCATTGCAGAGATAAAAATGGAAAAGAAGATTATTCAGGCCTTGCCCGCTTCAAGTTACGTCCAAAATCTGGAATGTTGCTTAAAATTTGATGTAGTCGATACATGAATTATTGATCCACACTATACAACAGAAAAATTCTGCTCTTTGGATAATCATTGAATTGTTATGATTTATTGACAAATTAATCTATTCTAGCGTTTTGTACTTGAACATTATAACTTTTTGCAAAAACGTCCAGACAGCACGAACTTTTTTTGGTTGCAAAGAGTAGGCCGTGAAATCTAGTGTGTACTGAAGATTTCAGATTTTCCTGCAACGTTTCAGATTTTTGACGGCCTAACTTAAGACCTGAGTGGTCTTCTTTGTCCGCTTACCTCTGCAAGACGCGTTTATGAAGAAGAAGATTTCCTCTCTCCAATAAAATTACGATGAAACGTCGAGATGTCAAAAAGCCACAAATTTTCGAAAATGAAACGACAGAGCTTTCGACAACCTAATATGTACATCACTAAAGAGAGTTTTAGTTGCAACAGACGGCGACTTAATTCTCCAGCATTTGATGTTCTACGAGGCTTAGGTAGAGCGAATGCGGAGCTTAAACACTTCAAAAATATTTTTTTACTATTTTTTTTACATAAATGCGGATAGCAAGCTAGGGGGATGCGATAAAGCGCGATTCACTTGAGTTAACGCGCCTTTTCTCACGGAATAGGAGCGATTAATTATGCCATAATTAAAGGCATAGTGCGGAAAATCTCTGACCTAAAACTTGAAACAGGAATAAGTCATGATCAAAGGCTACTGCACGACGAAGGCGCAGAAGCAGTATTAGTTGAGCGGGCGCGAACGCGTCGCGCGCGTACCCTCACCGTTTTAACCCTGCACCTCATATGCCCTGCGGCCAATAAAGCCGCGTTTGCGCCCGAAGATATTGCGCCTTCGTCATGCAATAGCCTATACCTAGCTTTGACACGCATAACTGAAGTCCGGCAATATGTAGTGTCATGCAATATGTAGAGTCTTCAAGTACTTCGTCAAACGTCCTCTATGTTTAAGGGAGTGAGAACCCTAAATATAAATATTCATAAACTGAGTCAATATTGTGCATTTAACCCCTCATTAAAGGCAGTGTCCGGACAAGGTGGGGATTTTGGGATTTCAGTGTCATGCGAAAGTGCCCTCCCCTCAGACACAACATCGCGCAAGGACGAGGTCATAACGCTCGACCTAACATAAGAAAAACGATGAGGAGGGAAACTTACGCCTTGGGGAGGGTCCTCCGACCTGTTTGAGTTCCTGCTATGCGGCAGAGTACGCATGCCGTAACGGTTAAAATCGTATGGCCCGCAGCCACTCTGCGTGTCAGCCTTGGCAGGGACCATCGAATTTTAAATGGGCTTTGAAAAACGCATGTTCTCGCCGTTTTCGCGCCTTCTAATGTGGATTTTCGGATTCAGCGTTGCGGATAACCCCCGGTATCGAATTTTTACCCGGACACTGCCTTCAAAAGCAGTGGCTCGGCAAATCCTCGAATTGAATTTTCTTCGCTTACCTGGGGTAATTCGACGCGCTGATTTCGAAAATACACTTTGAAGAGCACGAGAATGTCAAAAACCAGCATTTTCCAAGGGTTCTCATTTTGGATTTGGACGAGTGGACCATTACCCGTCATGGTTAGAGACGTAGAGTCGTTGCGGGACCCACACTTTATAGCACTGCGACATGCCGCCTCTGACGGTGGGAGGGGAACCGTAAGCTCGTCCGAACGCATGTAAGAATGGCTTGCGCGAACGGGTTTAGGGGCTGTTTTCTAGGCAGGGCATGTTGTGCGCTCGGACCTGCTCTGTTCTAGTGTTTGGGACGCAAGCAGCCTTCCATATCAAAATCTCGAGATGTTTGGTTTTGCCGAACCACTGCCTTTAACACCAACAATATTGGATTGATGCTAAAGTATCTGCAAAATTCGTTCGAAATTGAACAACTTTTCATACACTACATATAAATTCATCAGCCTTTCCTAAAAATAGCGGAAGGTTTGCACTCCATGACAGATGTTGAAACGCAACTTTCTATAAGCTAGCCACCCAGAACGAAGCTTTCAAAGCTTTACTTAGCTCTAGCCCATGCTTCAGTATGGCAGGCTTCCTCGCATAGAAATAAAACAAAGAATTGTTCAGCTGTCACTGAAAAGAAAAATCCCTCTATTGCTGATTTTCTCCACAAAATTGCAGTTAGAGAGACTTAGTGCTTACCTAGAAGATAGTGACGTTTTTTCTTGGGAGTCACAGAATGGCTTTGATGAAAAAGTGCAACATAAGGGAGGTTCTCCCCCCCCCCTGAAATGATAATTTTGCAAATTATTTGTGTTTGCAGGCTTAGGGCTTTTTCCAAGGGATAATGCTTTTTCCAAGCAAGAGCTCTTCTTGCTTGGAAAAAGCCGTACGCACCGGAGCAGGCTGTAGTCGGATGTCGTCCCCTAGACTTCAGGGTTTAGTCGAAGTCCCCACACTTTTAAAAACGTAGCCTGCGCGCTTTATAAAAGAGCATCTGCGAAATACCTAATAAGCAGTCGTTACGGTTGTCACTACACACGACCAAAATATCGTCGATTGACAGCCACTTATGATGAAGATGTAATCAAAAGCTCAACCTTCTAGCAGTACTTTTTGAACAACCTTGTGAAATGAAAAAAACGCAGTTTCGAATCAAATAGGTCCCAAGTCTGAATTGGTCAATGATTGAGGGAAAGCACATGTGGCTTATGGTCTTAGGTATAGAAAATGAAGTAAAGAAAAATTAAGAAGGTTCAAAGATTGTAAGGCGAGGCTATTGGCCATCGACGCTATCTCAATCAAAATATTGCTTG